TCACAGGATACATTTGAGGTGTTTCATAATTACACTTTGTCCCTGAGAGGCATCTCCATCAGATTTAAGTAAATTAGAGAAGCAGAGAATAAGACAAGCTAAGCAAATTATCATACACAGCAGAACTGGCTGTCCATGCATCAGTGTTACCCCGTATGCACAAAGACCCTCAACTCTTACGGCATACCTTTATCAATATTCTTTATAACAAACTAACATTTCAAAAGTTGTTTTGCTCGCTTTTTTCTCCAGTAAACAAGTGTCATTTAAATGCATGTAAATAACAACAAAACTAGTTTCTTTCTGGGGTTCATACCGTTGAAGTAAGCCGGAGTGAAGCCTTTGTGTAACTTGTTCTTTACAGATGAATCGAGACTCACCAGAAACAGATTAACAAGTTCTCCTCAGATGGATGTAATGAGTAAAAAAAACAGCATTTCCTTGTAGACATTTAGAGATAGGACAGATAGGACTAGGGCTGCAGATATTTCTCTCTAATCACATTCAAATGTGTATGCGCTATCATTTTAATATTCAAATGTATTCACATTTTTTAATGCTAAAATGTAGTACTGTACCACTGTATTGGTGGTTATGTGTGTGTGTGTGTGTGTGTGTGTGTGTGTGTGTGTGTGTGTGTGTGTGTGTGTGTGTGTGTGTGTGTCTGTGTCTGTGTCTGTGTCTGTGTGTGTGTGTGTGTGTGTGTGTGTGTGTGTTGATCTACTAGCTATGATTGCTCTCAGTTAATTGCAGAAGAACATCATATTAGTCGTTGCTTCCAAATCACTAAAACACCATTGACTATAGTATAAGTGTACTTCTAACACATTCATGTCTATATTGTGTGTCTAATTATGTGTGTATGTTTGTCTCTGCCAGTGTCTGGTTTAATAACACATTAACAGGGCCTGGAACAAAGCCCTTCATCATTATCTACAATCACATTTTGGAAACCTGAAATTCTATAACGAGCAAGCATTTCACACGAGTGGAAAGAAGAGCTGGAAGACAGGATAATTTGATTAAAAAGATAATGAGGATATAACATCATCGAGAGCAGATAATTGTCCCCCTTTTTTTTATTTTGTTTCATATTTCAAAGCCACTGGAAAGCATTTTTATCTAGTAAAGAGAGGCTCCAGATAAGCGATGAGACATTATTAAAGGAAAGAAGGATGAAAATAACTGGTTTTCAAGGCAACTCCGCCAGAATCACCTTCCCCGGCACTTGTGATTGCGAGAAAGCTATGTGGATGTGTGTGATGTGAATAGTGAGTGAGTATTGTTGTATCCTTCTGGTGCTTTAGGTCTCACAGCAATAGTCTGTCTGATGTTGGAGCGATGTGGTACAGCAACAAAAAAGACAGATACCACTAAAAAAACTACTATTAATGTTTGTGACTGTGTGTGTGTGTTTACTCCAGAGCGCTGTGTCACTGTGATGAGTTATCATTTATCTGCAGCCATGTGAGCCAAGAGAGAGACACTTCTCTCCCAAAGTAGTTATTAACTAAACAGATGAGGTGGTGTCAAACTGTTCAAATGTCATTCTGGTTCTGGGTTCTTTCTATGATTACATGGGTTCGCTGCATGTCGTCTGGTCAGAAGCAGATTCATATTGTGAGTAGTCTCAGCATGAAACACGAGTGTGTCGGATCATTTAAGTGAATCAATGCCTTGTTACCTCTAACGGTATATGTTTTTATTTGCATTTATCAATTCTTCTTTCATGGACAAAACAGTTTAAATGTTATTGATGAGATGGGAAAATGGCTGCTGTCTTTACATTTAGAGAGGGCAGGGGTCAAGGGCAAGGAGAGCTTCGGAAAAGATAATTCACTTAGTGCTGCGAGGTTTGAGTGTTTTTTTTGTTTTTTTTTCAAGATCACATTAGTGCAGGTCATACAAAGATGATATGCAGGTAATTATTGGAAGAAAAGCAGTAAAAATACAACCTTAAAGGCTACATAGTTCTATTATTACCTTCAAGGTTTTTTTTATCTACTGTTGTGAAAAGAAAAAAACTTAAAGGCCTGGAACAATAAACAAATACAAAATTCAATGCAAATAATAGACAGTAAATAGAATATCTCCCGGCTAACAGTGTAACAAGCATCGAGTGCTATGTGACTGCTGCATGAGCAAATCTAGCCCTGTCCCCCCCAGGGGGTCTTGTTGGTTTTGTACACTCTGCACAGGAAGTTTTGAGAACTGCGAGTCTGTGAGAGAAGCGGTATCAGCAGTGGTCGAGTCAGGTTGAGTGTCGAGTTTACTGATTTGTAGTAATGAACTGTCTCAACAGCAAGTGCAGACAGCTACTGGAAGCCCAGAGGGGATTACATGTTTCTGTCAGTCACCACCTAAACCGCTGATAGCAAGCAAAACTTTTTCACCTTTCAAGCAGGTTCCGAACACTCGTGCAGGTTTGATGCATGACTTTATACAGCATGTGAGGTAAGGTATAAAAGCAGAGTGAGTAGGGGGAACGTAAGACACGACGCTGTTTCCTGAAGACAGTATGTAACTCCCAATGAAAGATAACCGTTGTTATTTAACCTTTGGCCAGCCATAGTTTATCTGTGGCAAAAACCTGCTAACAACAACAAAGTACTTAGTAATGCAAAGTCTTGTTTTGTTTTCACACAAGAAAAAACAGTAAGAGAAAAAAATATGTGGAATAATTTAGTCTTATCTAACATTGACAGAAAAAGTGTGAGTTCATGTAGGATACCATTACTGAAAGCACATTATATGGCCTTAAGGTTCTGAGGGAAGAGTTCTCTGGGGTTTTGAGTTACATTCATGGCAGCAATTATTCATTACGGAAAGCGTTTTATTCCTGCTGATTACATTCAGTGTAACATTCAACATTCTCTCACGGTCTGCGCACAACCTTCATACCCAAATGATCAATGCAGCGATCTTGTGCATAAAGACATCTGCTTTGTTGACATGTGATCAGACTGTCAAATCATGTAAACATGCAGGGCACTGGTAGCCTAGTGGTTTGTGCATGCCCCATATACAGAAGCTGTGGCCCTCCAAGCGGGCGGCCCGGGTTTGAATCCGACCTGTGGCCTCTTTCCTGCATGTCATTCTCCACTCTCTCTCTCTCTCCCTGATTTCTGACTCCATCGACTGTCTTTTCTCTAAATAAAAGCCCAAAAGGCCCAACAGTTTAAAAAAAAACAACTTGAAAATCATGTTAACATGCAGAAATCTTTGAATTGCCCCCCAGGGACAAATAAAGTTTTTTGAATTGAATTGAATTGAATGAAAAAGGGAACACTTTTCCATGTGAGGGCTTGTCTTCGAGTTTATAGGATAATCGATCTATTCAGAGGTTGAAAGTACGAACACATGGTTTGTTCTGAGCAATTATCATGGTTACAGTTCAGTAATGCGCAGAAAACTGCAGACAGAGTAGCAAAGGCCATTATAATAAAGGGAGTCACTGAGGAGACTTTCAAATGAGGAGCAACAATGAACAAGGTTGTTCTATCCTGAAAGTAAGAAGAGAGAGTAATGGTTGCTTTAAATGCCCAAGTAATTACAGAGCTTCCACAGAATGTCTTCCAGGTGGTGTTACTTTCTGTTTTTTCCTTGAAGGCGGTGAGTTTTTCAAGAAAACTCGATGCACTTTGGCAGAGCACATTCTTAGCTGAGTGAGAAAGGCAGAGAGCACGCAGAGGTCTGGTTAGAGGTTAAAGAGTGTGTTTAGGATTCCTTCTCAAAGGGTGGAGCTCAGGAGTCTCTGCTTTTATGTGGTTGTATGTGAGCGAGAGAGGTTGAGAGCGTCTGTGCCTCTACGTGTGTGTGTGTGTGTGTGTGTGTGTGTGTGTGTGTGTGTGTGTGTGTGTGTGTGTGTGTGTGTGTGTGTGTGTGTGTGTGTGTGTGTGTGTGTGTGTGTGTGTGTGTGAATGAAACAGTTCTTCTTCACCCTCCAACTCACCCTCCAAAAAATGCAGGATCCCACAGATCTTCTCATCCAGCAGCCCCCCTCCATCTCCAGCCCCTCCAGCAATCCAACCTGGTAGCTCCTCTCTCCCCACTGAGGCCCCTGCCGTCATCTTCAACCCCCTGCATGCCAGCTAGTGCTACTCATGGAATATTTAATGGCAGACATATACCTGAATGTCAATGTTCATGGGCTGTGCATGTGCTTGGTGAATGATCCCTCTCGCTGAACGCAGATATGAGGGTCTACTTCAGGAAAAAGGACACACATTATTTAATGTAACAACATTAGCTGTGCTTGATCTATGGTGATTGTCAGGAGGGGATATAGAGCTTAAGAACCTTACATGTCAACCGCCACTGCTCTTTGTTTTCTCCATATAAAAGTCCATTTAAAATGTCATTCATTCATATATTTAAAACACACAATTTAAAATCGAATTGATCACGTGGTGTGTGTGTGTGTGTGTGTGTGTGTGTGTGTGTGTGTGTGTGCGTGTGCGTGTGCGTGTGCGCGTGCGCGTGCGTGTGCGCGCGTGTGTGTGTGTGTGTGTGTGTGTGTGTGTGTGCATGTTGTGTTAAACCTGGGATGAAATGTTTCATCATTGATCTTTTCTAATGCACCTAAAGAAACTTAGCACTTACACATTTAATTTATACAATGGCAATAAAAATGGATTTGAATTGTTTTTGAAACAAGATCAGTTTATTTTTGTGTTTATTCAGCACAAAAGTCAACAGAACAGGTTATAGACTTAATGTAATCATTTTTATAAAAGCTTAAGTTGAGTCATTTTCTTCTTTTTATGCAGAAATAAAACATGTTTTTGTGTGTGTATTTGTAGAGCAGTATATGTGAGAGGAGGTTAATGTGTTTTCATTTGTGTGTGCAAGAAATAAAAGGGATGATGTGATGTAATTGGACATGACTCATCAGGTATTTCATCAGTGCCACCTCATAAGCCCCACCACTTTATCCTGCATTTAGGGTGTTATTGGCTGTCATTCACTATTTGCTTACAGCTACATCTTCTTTCTTGCAGGGTGGAGGAGAGTTTTAAGACCCTTTTCTGGTCCATCTTCGGGCTGTCTGAAGTGATCTCAGTGGTGCTCAAGTACGACCATAAGTTCATCGAGAACATCGGCTACGTGCTGTACGGAGTCTATAACGTCACTATGGTTGTCGTCCTCCTGAACATGCTCATCGCCATGATCAACAGCTCCTACCAGGAGATAGAGGTACAGAATTAAAGTTTGGATAATGTCAGCAGGTCAATAAGGATTTGATTTTTGATCACCTATGTGTCTGCAGGAAGATTAGGGAGTGACTAGAAAATACCAAGAGGCATACACGGTCAATACAGCGGCTGAAAACAAAGACACTGAATACAAACTTGATACAGGAGTCACACTGGAAAAGTTGTTGCAAAGGCTGAGCTAAAAACAATTATACAGTTTTGTAACTCCAAATAATTTCTCTCATCCCAATTGAATGTCATTTTATTCATGTAAAAAGTATTAAAATGAAATTTAATGATAATAATTTTTGATCAGAATGAGACTCAGGTTTTATTGCCCAGGCATGTGAACGCATTGACTCCGCTTTAACTTTGAAAACAGCTTAAATAAAAGTTACTTGTAATAACATGCAGCTATTGTATTGTAGAGTACCTTATTGCATAGTATGGGGTCAAATTTCCTGAGTGAAATAACTCAGTGGTTCCTGAAATCTGCTTTTGTTTCTTCTCAACTAACACTCTGTTTCACTCTCTCTCTTTAGCCGTTTTCACATATGCACTCCGGATAATATCTAGATAATTACAGGAGGACCACTCCGGAGATTCTCCCGACCTAGCCGTTCACATATGCTCCTCACAACGGGGGACTTTCCCTGTCGGGGGGGAAAAATGTGGCTGTTTGCGTTCACACATAGCCTAAAGTCCCTCCGGGTAGCCAAATCTCCAAAGTTTTTCAGGACATTTCCGTATGTGTGAAAAGGGTTTTTGTGTCTGCAGGAGGATGCCGATGTCGAGTGGAAGTTCGCCCGAGCCAAGTTGTGGCTCTCTTACTTTGACGAGGGGCGCACCCTGCCCGCCCCCTATAACCTGGTCCCCAGTCCAAAGTCCTTCTACTACCTGGTCCTCCGCATCAAGTCATGCCTGGTACACCTCTGCAAGGCTAACAGCCCTCTCCATAGCAACGAGCTGGAGCTGGGGATGCTCAACTCACAGGCCAAGGTCAGTGACAGGATCTCTTTGATTCCTATAATCTCATGACAAACCACAGACACAAACTGAGGTATATATTGGGTGGCACCGGAAACAGCGTTTTGGCTGATGTTGTTTTTCACATTGTGATGAATACATAATTTATGATTTTTCAAACACAGCTGCAGTATCTGTTAAAATGTGCTAATTTTGCTAGTGCTTCTGATCAAATATTCCACCATTTTACAGGAGCTGTGGTAATTATTGGCCCCTTCAATTATCTACTTACGACAACATGCAAGTTCTTTTTCTGCCTCCTTTTCAGCATGTGCAGAAGAAATTAATATTATATTATGATGTGATAGCAAGTACCAGCTTTTTCTTTTAGTTGCTTCGTCTCAAGTTTACTCTCATTGCTTTTGTGAATTTCATTTTTTTAATGGTACATTTTTCCGCAATGGCAGACACACTTACAACCAGTGTAACTTATATCCAGATTTTCCTATTTTACTTGCCCTTCCTCAGCTCAATGAGTTTTGTTTGTTTGTTTTTATGTGGCCTCTGGATGTAAGGGTAAAGGATAAGCTCAATAATTTACCCCTTAGGATCTCAAACTTGAATGTGTATGTTTTATGTTGGAAGCATTACTGGAAATGACTGGATCATCAGCATATATAATATGTCCAATGTCCTCAGATGGCTTTACTGGGATCGAAACATAGATTAAAAAGAAAAGGTCTTGCTGATGGCTAACTGAAGCATTGAAAATCTTCAAAATCATGTGAACAGTGGTGCACAGAGGCTGTGCTGACAGCCATTTACTGTCGACAATACACTGACTTACTAATAATACTTGATACAACCCCTCATAAAACAACTAAACTAACCCTTAAAGTTCCAATATGTAAGATATATGCTTAATTAAATCGTAAAATGACCTTACTATATCATCAGACATTAAGGCTATGTTGAAGTGCTGGCTTCTCTGTTATCAACGCAGCAGCAATTATTTTAAGTTTAGATTCCAGTGCAAAATGTTCTGTTTATGTTTTGACCAGAGAAGGTAGGCGGTTTTCAGGCAGCCACACACGGCCGTTTTGGACCCTCCTTAGTTTATCAGGCTGACGGCAAACCAACAGGTGTAACAGCAATAAAAGCGGGCAAGCAAACTGTTACTCTGATAAGCTCCATGAACAGAAACGTGGTTAATCTAGGATAAATAATGCAGATGTCTTTGAAAAATGGAGAGAGGTTGAAACGCGGAAAGGTTTTAAGACCAATATAGAGCTAGATAAATACTGAAGCTTCAGTGTCCACGACATGGCAACCTGCGTGCACATTGACTCTAAGGAGGAGCAGGCGGGAGAAACGCTCTTCAATGTTTTGATTTAGACTGCAGTACCTATTTTAAACGCTAGGTGTCAGAGTTACATATTGCCCTTTAAGGCTTAGACCCATGAAGAACAAGTTATTCCTGCCGACAGCATACTGTATGGGATGGGACTTAAGCTTCATTCATTTCCCTCTTAAGAATTGTCAATCTAAATAAAATCACTGTAATGAAAAGAAAGTCATGCATGGAAAAAAAATAGTACAGGCCATTTAACACAGAATCCATCTTGGTGCAAGTGTTTTTCTGCAGCCATTTCCTCTGTCTGATTCCTCGGCTCAAAGGTTCACCTCAGTGCCTCGCTGAGCCATTAGTCAGGCCGCCAGATTTGCCTGTGCTTGCTCTAATGGTTGGGCAGCTTTTGGATGCGGACAAGATGGGATACACCCTGCTGCCTCTGTGAGCTCTTAAAGTTCGGTGCAGCTCTGACAGTTTAACTGCAGAGCCAAGCAGGTGCAGCAAGCGATCAATACATAAGCTTTCACATGTCCACAGTTCAGCTCTGAAAATGTCAAGTGAGATTTGGAGAAGACGGCATTGTTTTTCTGAATCAGTAATTTCCGCCTTTCGGGCTTTTTGTCCATGTATATTTCATGTGGCACATCCCCTGTTTGGGGATGGATGTACTAAAGCTCATGATTGAAGTCTGAAGCTGAACATTTTCACAAAGCTAAGCAAGTCAGTGGTTGGTCACACACACATTTGAATGACTGGAGTGAATGTGTGAAAGAGAAGCTGACCCACTGGTGTGTGTGTGTGTGTGTGTGTGTGTGTGTGTGTGTGTGTGTGTGTGTGTGTGTGTGTGTGTGTGTGTGTGTGTGTGTGTGTGTGTGTGTGTGTGTGTGTGTGTGTGTGTGTGTGTGTGTGTGTGTGCGTGCGTGCGTGCATGTGCATTCAGTAATTGAGGTTCCTGCCCTATGGTGAAAATATCTTTTATATATTCACAGTAATGAGGAGAATTAATTTCTTGCCAGAAGCAAACAAACTGAAATCACTAAATGAAGGAAGCGTGGCAGCTTATTGATAGAGAATAAGTCAGAGAGTACAAAACAAAGACTGTTGGAAAACCTTTGCACAAAAGAAAGATGTATTTTCTGACATGAAGATGAAACAGTCGTTGCCTTCATGCTTTAATAAAGTAGTGAGCTTTTAAACAAAATGGTTTTATGTTTTATGTTAATTCACAATTTTCATACGACTAAATCTTCATTTAGACCCATACAAATATGTATCTTGTTCTCTTAAATAACACAAGATTCAAGCATAAACAAATCATATTCAGAAACATGGTTATGAAATCAGAGAGGAAACAGATGTACGAAATCTTTAATGGTCTTTAATGAACTCTTCACTTTGTAAATGTTGTATTGTCATCATCATTGAACTCTCTGTAAGTAGTGTGGGATATTAAAGGTGCTTCATGAGGAACTTATGAAATGTTTTTGTTACGGTTTTGTATTTTAGAGTGAATCGCTTTCCAATTTAGTGCAGACACATTCAATATTTCTTTTTTATCAATGTATGCACACAGTATGTTGTACAGTTCTGCTCCTCTGGATAATCAAATCAGATGTTTTTATGACACAGAAAAACAAAAATGCTTTGTTCATTTCATGTCTCTAAACTCTAAAGTTGCTACTGTAGACCTGGTTATATCTCAACATAATGTTTGAATTAAAAAAAAGGTTTAGTTATAAAGCTTTTAAATCCTTTTCTTAAACCTTTATCCAAATGATATATTAGGTTAGATATATCCAGGCCTCTGCAGCTTCAGTGCATAAAGAGTAGCAGCTAGTTGTGAGTGTCCACACATAAGCTAAAACTCATTTTGACACTGCGTTGCCAAAATGACACACAACCTGCAAAGCAAGGTCGTGTACGTGGAAGGAATCTAGAAATAAGTTAACAGAGACTCACTCGTGCCAAGTGATGCTGATAACTCTGTGTGTGTTCTCTTTGGAGACATCTGTGAGCACTAGATACACAAAATGCGGTAACACTTTATTTTGATAGTCCGTCTGTTGACACTCAACAAGCTATCAGTAGATATTCAACATAACTTTTTCAGCAGACAAGTAACATACATTCAACTAACTATTAGTAGACTATAAGGTGCATTATCAGTAGATATTCAGTTGCATGTCAACAGTGTATCAGTTGATATTCAACACGACTCGTCAACAGACAAGTTATATACATTCAACTTACTGCCAGTAGACTATAAGGTGCATTTCAAGTTGTTACAACATTTTACAAAAAAGTGTCTTCCAACTCTCTTATTCTTTTAAACAGGTTATTGATTAGACTTTCAACTAACTATCTGTAGATTGTCAACTTCTTGTAAGTTGACACTCAACTACTCTGAATCAATATGTCAGTTGAAAGTCAACAGTATCCCTCATCAAATGACATGCAACTGAATATCTACTGATAATGCACCTTATAGTCTACTAATAGTTAGTTGAATGTATGTTACTTGTCTGCTGAAAAAGTTATGTTGAATATCTACTGATCGCTTGTTAGCTATCAAAATAGTGTTACCCAAAATGCTCCCTGCCTCTTATTTGCTGTCTTCAGTGTGTTGCTTCCTCTAACACCCTTTTCCATTATAGAGTATCACTCAACCTTGAAATGTGAAATTTACATGAAACTGCTGTTTTTGTGCCCTTCCCTTCCCTGTTTCTTCAGGATGAGCGCTTCAGGTCTTATCCACGTCCAGGCGAGGAGTTCATCCCCAGAAAGTCTAGAAAACACCCGACCAGATACCAGGTAAGACGGAGAGACAGAGATAGATGCTAGATCACAGAAAAGAGCAAGAATGGAGGAATGAGAATGAGAATAAATTGAGTGACAGAGATTCACAACACACAGAGAGAGGTTTAGAGCACAGAGTCAGGGGGGCAACAGTGTGATGAAAATGTATAGGAAGAAAAAATGAAAGAGGAAATGAGAGGGGGTCTGGAGAGGTAAAATACAAATATGACAGACTAGACAGAAGGATAAGGAACGTCAGGAGATTAGATAAAGGGAAAGAGAGGGATTTAACAGAGTTTGAATTAAAAGATATCAGCTGAAAGAAAGAAGGGATTGAATATGTAGTGAAATTAAAAATCTTACATTTTTACCCTTGTGCTCAGAGTTTGACATGGGCTCCGTTTTTCAACTTCCACTACAGAAACACGTGAGACCTCTCACTCCACACACCCACATGTCACTCTATTAGACATTTGTACATGAGGTGACAGGTATCGATCCATATCAAGATTGCCTACATGCAAAGATTGACTGTCTGAGCCTCGGCAGCGTCTGCAGGACGTCCCCGTTGGCTGCAGATCAATACTCAACATTTGACACTCAGTCTGTGAGAGACAACGTTGCTCTTTTATTGCTGTGTGATTTTCTGTGTGTGTGTGTGTGTGTGTGTGTGTGTGTGTGCGTGCGTGCCAAGGAAACATGATATCTGCACACCAGTAATTAGAGTAGGATAAGTTTGTTCACTTGAGGCATACATGTGTTGTCACATCACCTTGTCACCTTTTTTCTATGAAATGTCTCCCTCTTGTAGAAGATTATGAAGCGTCTGATTAAGCGCTACGTGCTGAAGGCTCAAGTGGACAAAGAAAGCGATGAAGTCAATGAAGGTAAAAAAAAAAATCTCTTGCACCACATCTTTTTTTCATTGTGACAGTTTGTTTTCAGGATATGTGAGAATCTGGATTATGAACAGGTCTTGCTGTGTATTATGAACTGTATTGTACAGCCTGGCTGCCTATAGTCACATGCATCACCTGTACAACAGTTCCATGTCCTTGTAAATAAGTGTCTAGACTGCACACATGTCTATACTTGCTCACATGCGCTCACTTTTGTGTCTTTTTGTGACCTTGTGCTGCAGGCGAGCTGAAGGAGATCAAGCAAGACATTTCCAGCCTCCGCTACGAGCTCCTGGAGGAAAAATCTCAAGCGGCCGGAGAGCTGGCTCTGCTTATCCAACAGCTTGGCGACAAGTTTGGCAAGAACACCATGAGGCACTGACAGGACTCACAAGACAGAGAGAGATAGGGGGTGGGGGTGAAAAGGAACAAAAGGGTGACAACAGGAGAAGGCAGCAGCAAAAAGCAGGGTCAGTAGTTATTTATAAGAATTTACAGTTGGGGGGGGGCAAAGAAAAAAGAAAGATGTGCAGATGAAACTGCCGATGTTTTTCATAACAGAAAGGCTGACTTTGCTTCTCTGTGTTGACTTTGTCAGGAAAATAATCACGACGCCTGTGGAGATACAGCGCAGCCCTTTATACAGCAGGCTATCTAATTAATGCACATCCAAACACAATGCACAACTTCAGATCAGGAGTCCAATGATTCAGGAAAAAGGGGAAAACATGTCATTAAAACTCGCTCAAATATTTAACGTTGTCCCGTCATTTGAAATTTATTTAAACGGTATGTAGAATGTGTCCATAACACATGTTGTGTCATGAAAAGACATACATATTTGCAGCTTCATGTCTCAAAAAGAAAAAACAAACACATGCTGCCAGAAATGTGGAAATGTTGTTTAACCCACAGACTGGAAACAGACAGAATGCACATAGACAAAGATGCAGACTTTTACGGTACCACTCGTTTTTGAATAACTTAAAGGGATACTTCGCCCGTTGAAACATCAATCTGTATTAACATTGGGTCATATATGTAGTAGAAATGTGAAATAAATTTTGAAGTTGGTGCCTTCTTGACCAAGAAAAGGCAGAAAGTATCTATTTGACTCATGTGGATGAAACTCCCCCCACTAAGGTCCTCTATTTCAGAATCAGAATCAGAAATACTTTATTAATCCCAGAGGGAAATTTGATCGTTACAGTTTCTCCAAAATATACAATACAGCAGTAGAAATATAGTAATAAATACATTTACAGACATATTTACTTCAACACATAAGAAGTTGAATTAATTGGTATCTTGGAAATTCCTGGCAGAAAACCGACTCTATGTCCATAGGCAAACAGACAATACCAGTCCACCCCAGCTCGAGCCGGCCCGGGCTCCTCGTCTTCACCGCCGCCGACAGGCAGGCCTTATGTCTCGGCTGCTGAGCTGGCAGCAGCGGCCGCAGCAGCCAAAACACAAGACCGGCCTGTCGGCAGCAGCCGTCTCGCCGCTATATTTATATTTTTTCGTCATTATCAGCTTTCTCCATAGAGCCTGTTAGCATAGCTTCCAAGCAATATGGCGGATGTTAAGTTTAGATTCTGGGAGTGAGTTCCCACCCACTGATCTGTGATTGGTCTGTAGCTTCAGTGGTTGAAAATATGAGGAACTAGCATTGTAGTTTCACCTTGCTAACCGCAACAGCTTCCAAAGACCAAAATGACGATTTTTGTGTCATCGGAAGCTCCTTTTCAGACTTAGAAATACAAAGATTTCCCATCTTGGGGGAAAATGAGGGCGGGATGCATGACCATTCAGAAATACTACCAGGTTTCTAATGATACAAAGCTTGATGCAAATGGGTGAAGTATCCCTTTAATTCCATAAACAATACAAACAGACCTGGATAAATTATGTGGATATGTTCCTGCTTATTGGGCCTCTGCAGCACACAAAAAAAATCTTTGCACAACACTTTTTCGAGAATAGCAACTGAATAGCAACACGTCCTCCAGGATTTGTGTTTACAGCTGGGAAAAGCAGGAGGTCAGTGCTTTTAAGGGGGAACATGAAGGCAGGAAAACTACTCAGTCTGAAGGCTTCAGGGCAAACACACATTGGTAAGATGAGAACATACAAGAGATATTTTAGACTGTGTGAACAACAAAACAATCATTTTTCTATGAACACTGAGAAAACCATTCAGCTTCCACAGGAATTCTCCTGTGGAAGCTGCATGTAGTCATTTTATGGTTTTGCTTTTCTCTTGGAGTGTTATTTGACACATTGCTGCACCAGCTAAACGACTGTGTTTGACTTCCCCCGTGAATGGGCTTTCAGGAGGGATGTTTGTACAGCTTATATACGGATGAAGATAGAACTACAGCCACTGTAACTGTCCTCTATGTAGCAGCAGACTATTCTGGGATTTTTACCAGAAAAACTGCCTGTAAACTCATTGTTAATAATATATCAAGCAGAGATCATGCATATTATTATCTATCTCGAGTGAATGCTTCATAAGTTACTAAGATGCATACTTGGTATGAAGATATATCATGTTTCATATTTCATTTTAAGACTTCAGAAATGTGACCTATTTTGTGTTTTAAATGAAATCAATGGATTTGAATGACATCACATAATACAATGCCCTCCTTCTCTTACAAAACTATTTTAATAATACCAAATGTAAAGATTATCAGATAGATTGTATTATCTTGTTATTGTATGGAATATATCAAATATCATAGGTAAGAATAAGCAGGGGTTGATTATACAGATCAACACATTTAGAGGGCTGACTTTTTACATCCTATGAATCAGATCATGTTTCTCTAAACATCATTATCCTTTACAGGAACCTGTATTTAGTTACTTCCATATCACACACACACACACACACACACACACACACACACACACACAAACATATATATATATATATATTATAAACATGAATATATTTTTTTCATTGTTTATCATAAGCTGAACTAAACGCCTGAGCGTAGGATGTAGTTGGCCAAAGCACTCTTCTTAAAGAGACGTTTATGTTTGTCATCAGAAGGCTTTAAATAGAGTTGAAATAATTCATCTTTAAGGGATATAAGGTGCAATTTTAAGTTTATGAATTTTGTCTCAGATACACAGATGTTGTTCAGAGACAAGCATTTGGTTTAAATGAATAGGTCGACTCAAACGTTTCTGTATATGTTTTTCCTGTGTGGTTCAGAGAGTGAAAGAGTAGCTAATCATTTTCTGTGTGCAGAACCAGAGTGTCCCTGAAAAGGTTTTAAGACTCACACCTCCTACAGGACAAAAATACCTGAAATACTGTATTTTTAACTTGTACGTAAAAATATATTGATAAAAGCAAAATCTTGTATTGAAAATTGTCATATTTTTGATCCTTGGATTAAAGAGAGTAACCTCTAAACTGCTTGTTTGATCATTCATGTTCTGTGTGTTTGTGCTGATTGTTGCAGTTATTTGAAAGTTAATGAGTTTAAATTTCACATGTTTGTCTTCAGTAGCCTTCACTTTGAACTACAGTATGAACATAAACACATAAATATGTACACATTCTTTAAATAATTATTATCTGCAAACTGCTGGACCATTGCACCATATGTCACTTATGTACACACGGCTCAGTAACACAACCTCAGCACTCACACAAACATTCACAGTGAATTGCAGTTTTCTAAGAGGGTCTTTTAGCAAGTGATAATAGGCATATTTCTCAGTCCTAACTATTCAAAGCTATTCACACAGAGCTCAGCACAACTTCTACTTAAACTCACACCCAAAAAGCACTGAAACATACAAACCCTCAACATGCACCTTAAAAAACAGTAACATGCTAATTTAATTTCTCGAAACATGGACACAGTTTCTGATAATTCAATGATCAGATACTTGAACATAAGGAAGGACTATTTGAGTTTTTTTTAAAACTTGTTTTTTTACATTAACAACCATCATGAAACTGATGCCAGACATGCAATGTCTCAGAGAGATTTACAAGTGAACAAGAGAACGTTTTCTAAATACTACAACAAAAATCTAGACTGAAACTTACTGTAAAGAAAATGAAATACTGACATTCTGGTTTTCTGCACAGTGCAAACGCTCCACTGCCAGTGACTGACCCTACAAATTTACAAATGAGAATTTGTAAATATTAACGCTTAACCCTACCTAAATCATAATTCTGGATGAGTCAGCGCTCAGCAGTTCAGATATAAGCAGCTAGGCTAGAATGTGCTCTTCTGTGAGGACCCTAAAGAACTGACAAGGACATGTCTGTGTGTGTGTGTGTGTGTGTGTGTGTGTGTGTGTGCGTGCGTGCGTGTTTGTGTGTGTGAGTGTGTTCGCTGTGCTTACATAGATGGCATTACAGAGACATCCTGAAAGCTTTAACGCAGCTTTGTAAACATTCACTTCCCTCCAACAAACTATACAGTACGTCCAGACATTAAATAGAGCTCAGTAAGTCCACATCATTCATCTGCCACTCTCTCTTTTGCAATGTTCAGGCTGTTATTCACACAGTTTCTTTTTCTTTTTTTTACAAGAAGTCATGTTACCTTTACACTGTTCAAAACTTGATGCAGTCTTCTCCTTTGTTAGGGTTAAAGACGTAGGTGGTGCATTACATCATTTTCCTTTGCTAGGTTCAGCCTTTAGCCTGCAATAAGTGTCTTCATATTTATCTTAAGAATCAGGCGAGCGTCCTTTCCTCCACATGCTGTTGAGTTGTGTTTTATAACCATTGTCACATCCTTTATATCTGTTTCCTCCTCCTGTCTTATCTGTCTCTTTACTCACTGCTGCTCTATATATGCAGGCCAATAAAGCAGAAATGCCAAAACACTGCCTGAAAAGAAAAAAAAGGCTTAGTTTAAGTCCAGAAAAGCAGTCAACACTGTTACTGTTTAACTCCATTGCAACTGAGCTGGTCAGAGGGACATGTGCTTTTGGGAATTCACAGGAAATTCTATTCTCTAATTTCCTTCAGTGCTCTGCCTCAAACTTCTGATATGGGTTTTGCCCTCCAGGCTGTTTACCAAGAACACACTCTGTCAATGTGAGTTACTAGGTTTTTTTCCTCACTTCTAAATAATATACCCCCCTCCCTCTCTCTCTCCCCCTCTCTCTCTCACACTCTCTCCCTCTCCTTGTCCATGCCTTCTCCATCTGTCTTCCTCTTCCTCTGTCTTTCTGAGCAGAGCAGTGAGCGTTGTGACCTCCTGCCTTATGAAAGACTAGGATTCCAGGGATTTTGAAGGAGAGATTAGACTCCGCCTACTGCCTGGAAGCCCCCTCAGGAACAAACTTAGCAGCAGGCTCACACATATTTAAAGAATATGCTTGCTTGCTTTTATAAACACACATAAATAGCAGCTTAGCCCTCGTGGTATAATATTAGAAGCTTCGGCACACATATGTGGGCTCAAACAGCTTCTCTTCCAGAAATCTACACAAATTTCACACTTATTGAGGTGTGAGTACTCACTTAGGCATGCACACACGCACACACGGCAGGCTGTCAGTCAAAAACACACATTTAAACCATGGATGCCGACTCGTTAGCACACAAACAAAAAAGAGGTTTTAATCATATATTAATGGAGACATTAGCACACAAGCAGGGCTACACTCAAAACTCTCTTTGTGGCTTTTGCTTTCACACTATGCGTGTGTGTCATTCATTATTCGTCGCACATACTCACACACACACTCTCAGCTCCCATCCGTGTCATCAATCCCCTCCATATTCCAGCTCAGTCTCACATCACAGTATCTCATTAGAAGAGGCTCTCTGAAAGGACCTTATCAGAACAAACCTCTTAAACAAACCAGTGGACTATTGTCTAAGCAATCACAATCTTATATTATAGCCATTTATCACCAAAAATACAACCTCTATCAAAGTCATAAGAATTTTCTTGAACTCCTTTTTTCTTATTTGACATGGCACACTGTAAAACATCACATATCCGTAACACAGAGACTTTTTTAAGAGACCCCACTGTTGGTGAAATGCCAATATCTAATTTCTGAAGCAGCCAGAGGTCTGATGGAGCAGAGTGGGAAGGGGCTATGTAGGAGCTATTAGAAGAAAAGACTTGTCCAGTGTTTACCAATTCTTCAAAGCCACGACCCGCTGGTTTAAGATGGATGGAAGGATT